CCCCAATTCCCCATTCTCCCCTCTTTTCTAGTGATAATGAAGATGTGTTTGCTTCTCTCCCCCACCCCCTCCTCCCTGAAGTCAAAGGTCACTGGCAGAGATCACAGAGGTCATCCACACGGCCAATCTCATCCACAAGGGCGTGGTCAACCTGAGAGACGTGCTCCCCGAGGACGGGCCCCTGTCCGACCTGGAGTTTGGGAACAAAATGGCCGTGCTGAGCGGTGACTACCTTCTGGCCTCTGCCTGCACGGGGCTTGCTAAACTGGAGAACCCCACAGTGAGTAGCTTCCCCTTGGAAGGTTTATATATATACAGTCTGGCATTCATGCACATTTAAGGAATATAGCCAGAACATGGAAATCTTTTCCTTATCATCTATTCAAATTTCCCTCTTTATGTGTTTTATTTTAAATACAAAGAATATACATGATGGGTTAGAAAAAAAAGGTGGGACCTGAAAAAATGTACACTGTGTGCGTCTTTTGCTAAGTGCTTGCAAGACTGTAATCATTTATCGGATGGGGGAGGGAGGGGGGTTAACAATTAGCTTCCTGGTAATTGAAATCTTTATTAATTATTTATTTTTGAAGTAGCGAGGCATAAGTCGTACAAGGGATGTTCCACAGTCCTGTATATCCCTCTGAAGAAAGGTCTGGTCTTAAGATCAATTAGTAGAAAGTTTCCCTCTCTGTCGAACAGTTTTTTAAATTCCTATTGCAGTAAAGAAAGTCCATAAATTTTACAGTTTATTATTTTATATGGAGATGTAGCTAAAACAGCACCTGGACATGGATGGCTGGTGCCTCTATAAATAAATCATTGATGGTCTGTATGGAGATGTATTTATTTCTAAAGGGAAAATATTTGAATTATAACGTTTTGTACATGATGTATGATCTTTCTGTCTTTACTTTGTACGTTTTAGTTGTTCTACAAAAATTGCAGCATTTTTTTTTTACTGCTTTACCATCAACAATCTTGCCGTGTTTATGAGCTCAAGTTCCTTTTCATGTGCATAGTTTTAAGACAAATTTGTGTGCTGCTGTTCACAAAATGACTGCATTAAAAGCAATAATCTTTCCCTGTTTTTATGTTAAAATGCTTCTTTGTGTTTTGAAAATTACAAAAAGTCACAGTAATTTTTTCACCAAATAAAGGCTGCAATTCCAACAAAAATCTCTCTCTCTCTCTCTCTCTCTCTCTCTCTCTCTCTCTCTCTCTCTCTCTCTCTCATGCTCTCTTTTTCCATCTACGTGTGACAGGTCTTAGAAAAGATTGCCCAGTCCATCGGGGACATGATGACCGCTGAGTTCACCAACTTCTCAGACGCCAGCGGCCGCCCAGAGATGCCCGACCACTGCAAGGGTCTCTCCGATTGGCTGAGTCAGACGTACCTGTCCATAGGTAGCCTCGTGGCCAAGAGTTGCCAGTCGGCCATGATTCTGGCTGGACATTCGGCGACATTTCAGTCCATGGCTTTCGCTTACGGGGAAAACATGGCGTATGCTCAGCAGGTATGTATAATGTAGCACGAGTTGATTTATGTTTGATTTTACTCGGGATAACGATGAGCCAAACAGGGAGTCTGGTACTCAGCAGTGTCGTACGCATTAATAATAATAGATAACATTTGTATAGCGCAAATCGCGTTGAAAATCTGTACTATTACCCCAGCAGACCTGAGAGCGTTCTGAAACAACCTCAACTTCCTGTTAAGCATAAAGTGCAAGCAGCCATTTTTAAGTGCTACAACACTAACATACTGACAAGATCTTTCGCTGTCTATGACCGGGCACCCATTCCCACCAGGGTGAACTGAGAAAAATTTGTGAAAAGTGCCTTTCCCAAGGACCCAACGTCAGGCCCGAGGCTCGAACCCCCGAACCCGCAATGTAAATTGTTGTCATATTAATAAAACGCTGAAACCTAGCCCATCAAGTGAAGCTAACATATACAGTCAAACCTGTGTAAGACGGCCACCCATTGTCAATGAGAAAAGTGGCCATATAAGACAGGTAGCCGTCTTAGGCAGGAATGATCAAGATGAAGAAAACAAACCATTCCCATCTGAGGTCCCAATCAAAAATAGCCGCATTGTTGTTGGTGGTGGCGGTTTGTATTTTGTTTGTAATTTTTTGTTGTTGCTGATTTTGCACAAGGGTGACAATAAAACGAAATGTATCAGACGAGGAAGACCGAGTGCCATGTTAAAACAAACTCATGGGTCGCCACCACCCGAAGAACGAGCGACGCTTCTGTCACAAGTTCATGTTGACGTCCTTTGTTACTTTGTTACAGACTGGGTAAACAGTGACCACTCATCTCACTTACGATTTGCGTATGAGTTCTAGGCGGGGCTTATAGGTTATGAGGGATCACACGCTTACCTCACCAGCAACGACAGGTGATTGAATTATGACGGCTCGCCCACAACGCCAGGGGCCAATGCACAATTTATGACAAAACGTAATGGAGTTACTAAGGTGGCCGTCTATGACAGGTGTTATTGCTTAGTGTGATAGGGGTTGTGTGTTAAAATATGGTGGCCGCGGCCACGTTGGACAGGTGCCCGTTTTACACAGTTAAATTATAGAAAAAACGCAAGGGGGGAAATGGAAAGTGGCCGTTTGTACAGGTGGCCATCTTATAGAGGTGGCCTTCAGGGCAGGTTTGACTGTAGTCTGTGGTGTCTGGGAAATTATACGATTTCACCATATTGTCAGGGAACAGGCAAAGTAAGCAAAAGTACAAGTAAGGGCCATAAACCTACACATTTCCAGACAGTAGAATGTAAAGAGGAAGTAAAGCCTATTTGTGAAGAAGTTAATATGTTTGACAATATTTTTTTTCAAAGGATACACGCAAACCAAAGTAGCGACTCAAATTGCTGCCTTTTAAATCAGCCTCAACACCACCAAACAAAACTTACAGCTGATTTAATCGATGGTCGGCACTGGAAAGGTTAAAAATACAGAAAGAAAAAAAAAACAAGCTGGTTTGACATCAGCCTCTGAGTATTTTACAATCTGTGAGCAAAGTACGCCGTAGAATACGACAGGGGGGGGGGTTCATTGGAACGAGCTGCCAACCTATTAGTATTACAGTTGCATCTGTGCAGTAGTGTACAGTACACATTTGGTTGAATATTTTATTGGGGGTGGAGAGTCAAATAAAGCAAAAAGGTGCAGCACATTCAAATAGAAGACTAAATAAGACAAAAAAGTGCAAGACAGTCGCACAAATGACTAAATGAGACAGTTTAGCCAGAAATGTGCAAGACAGTCAAATAGACGACTGAATAAGACAGAAATGTGGGGGCTCTTGTGGCCTAGAGGTTAAGGCGTTCCCCTTTATTCAATGGTCCCAGGTTGGAATCCTGATAGTAACGGAAAATTTTCTTCTCTACAGTCATCCTTTCCTGTTCTCTAGCAATGTTTTGTCGTCTGCTTTTGTCTCCACTTTCTGCCCCCACCCCTCACCTCCTTTGCCCCCTCCTCTAGGCTCCTGACTCTTTCTGCTGCTACTACTTTGCTCTTTCTTACTGCTGTCTTTCAGCAACTCCCCTGATCTTATGGCAGGAAAGATATACACCTGGCCTTCTCGGACAAGGGCAAAAAATCTCGGAGGTCCTGTGTGCAAGTTGCGCACGTTAAAGATCCCTTGGTGGCCCAAAATCTAAAAGAGTAGGCTTCGTCCATCACAATGGCAAATTTCAAAATTTTCTACCGACTGAAAAAGTTTAATGTGTCCCGTGCGCTTATACATGTATGCAGTTGCGAGACTTATGCTGATTGTAACATGAAACACTGTACGCATATATCATCTTTACTTGTTTGTTTGGTTGTTTTTTTATATTATTGTGGGGTTGTGTGAGCCTTCCATCGAAAGGGAGGATGGTGGGAGGAGGTATGGCTGTCAGTTTGATGCTTAACACTGCAGACTTTATGTGTAATGTAACATTAGAACGCTGCATCCATTATTTATTTTTTTTAAAACTTAGTTACATGTTTAAACCGCTCCATGTCAAAAACGTTCTCTCTCCCTCCCTCCCTC